TGTGCTGCTAGCTGGGTAAAAGCTGTTTTTATTTCCACTTTATTCTAAAAGTGTTTCCTCTTGAGAGGTGGTGAAGTGAACCTGTAATTCCCAGAATGATAGAAAAGAAGAGCAACATCTATAACAGGTGACTTTTTTTAAATGTATTTATTCATTTAATGACACTTTACCACTTAAATAAATTATAATTTCACTTTATTCCGAGTTAACGAGGTAAAGCAAAGTGGATAAAGTGATCTTAACCCTGAGTTTAATCACCATGGATTCTCCAATCCTTGAATTTTATGGGAAAGAGGACACACAAAGTGCCAAACTCCGAGTTAAAATCATGAATCTGAATCAGAATAACTGCATCATATCTGAGGAAATGTGTAATTAGTTTGTTTTGGCTCTGCAGACAGCCCACAGCTTCCACAGTTTAGATGATCAAGTGGGATAAAAGGCTCCTGAGGAACGTTTAGAGATGTGGGGGGGGGGTTATTACAACTGTCAAACACTCTTTAGTGCAACTTCATTATTTTTTCTCTTAAGAAACCTCTGAAAAACACAAATCTGAGCCCCTACCATGAATGGATCATCTCTAAATCTGACTGTTCATGCGTTAAATGCTGCAAACGAGAATGAAAATTACCCCAAAAACAATCTTATCTAGTATTTTTCATATTAAGGAATGGCTGTACACAGTTTTCATCCCCTCATCTATTCATAAAACAATTAAAAACACCAACTCAGGCATGTTTTTTGCTTTTAGAAACAATACAGATCTGTGCTTTGCTGCTTCTCCACTGAGCCTTTGTTAGTTTTTGTTAAGTGTTCATCTCTAAATCTGCCTCATAAAAGCCATAATTTACTCACTGTATAATAAAAAACTGGGTCCAGCCTTCAGTTTTCCATTAAATGCTGTCAAACAAGGTTTTAAACCAGCATATGTTGTTTAATTTGGGGGGAAATTGACACTGGAACAACCAAAAACAGGTTAAATGTAAATAAACATTCCACAAAGACTTTCATTTGATATAA